TGCTGGGAATTGAACTCAGGACCTTTGGAAGAGCAGCTGGTACTCTTAACTTCTGAGCCATCTCTCCAGGCCAACCCTATACTTTTTCAGAGACAGGGTTTTTGCCTATAGTTCTAGCTATCCTGGAACTCACTACTCTGTAGACCAAGCTGTCCTCAAACTCAAGAGATTTGCCTCTGCCTCTCAAGCGGTGGGATTAAAGGTATGTGCCACTAATGATCAGCTAGACTAGAGATTTAAGGTCAGCCTGAATTAGAGTATGTTCAAAGCCAGCCTCGGTGACTTAGATCCAAATAAAAAGGGCACAGCTGGTGGTTCTGGCTCAATCCTAACAGCAAAGGCTCTGACAGATAACAAGAGGAATACACAGTGAGTGGTTCAGCCCTGTAAGCCTGAGGCGATACAGTCTCTGCCCAGATCGTCACGCCCAGGGGAAGGCTGTTGGAAGCTGACTGTTCAGCTTGTGAGAGATCTACTCATTTGCTTTATCTCTCAGTTCTGAGAAAGCCTGGAAGAAGAGAAAGAAGCCATGACAGGGAAGACAGAGCTAACCAAGGGACTCAAATCATCGTGTGCCTGAGAATGAGTCATTTGGTTGGATGGTCATTAACGGAGGGACATCACACAAGCTAGGCAGGCAACCTGAATCTAGCACCCCCAGGCCATCCGTCCTAGTCTGTGGATGATAAAACTGCCCTTGTTTTTTTTTTTTTTTGCCTTTTGTTTTGTTGAATCAGGGTCTCAAGTAGCCCAGGCTGGCCTCCAACCCTCAGGTGCTGAGAGATTTATGGGTATATTCGACCACAAGGCTTCTTTCTCTCTGCCTTTTCCCTACAACATACATCTTGTGAGCAGAAATAACCTCACTTCTTTAGACCCATTGCCTACGCTCGACAGACTGAAATGAACTAGAGCTAACATACGACAAAGAGATTAAAAAAAGTGAGCACACAAGCAAATATGTATGTGCATTTTCTTTGTTACACTTGGGAGGCAGAGGCAGGCGGATTGCTGAGTTCGAGGCCAGCCTGGTCTACAAAGTGAGTTCCAGGACAGCCAGGGCTACACAGAGAAACCCTGTCTCGAAAAAAACAAAAAAAAACAACAAACAAACAAACATAAAAGAATAAACAGCTGGAGACACACACAGTGCCGCAGAGGTTCCATCCGGAACACAACCAAACCTTGCAACTTCCATGTCCACTATCAAACACTCAATATTTGATATTAAATATCAAAATATTAAATAGCCCGTGGCTTACCCGAAACACTATTCCAGTCCTTCCTAACCAGATCCCAGTTTAACTTACATCTCGGATGTCGCACATCTGGGTCCACGTGAACACCTGCTCCGGGGGTGGATAGACCTTGTGGTGTTTCCTTTCTTCAGCAACAAATCCCATTAGCTGGTTTAAAAGATAAAGGAGGCTTAAAAGCACATTCTCGCCAGAAACTGAAGGAATGAGGTTTGAAAACCTTTCTATAGAAGGTGTTTGGAAGCAGCTTCATCCCTCTAGGCTGGATCAAAGATGGTGGGCCGGGCTATTTTCATTTCCCAGTAATCCCGCCCCTCTTTCTCTTTTTTTTTACAAGACAGGATCTCTTATAGCACAGAGCCTGAGGCTGGCCCTCACCTCCAGATCCTCCTGCCCCTAGATCTCAAGGGTTGGGATTACAGCCTGGGACCTCAATCGTCTTCTCTGACTTCTAATAAGACTCTGGTTGATGGTTCACCACCCCAGGGTTTCCTGGCGGGAAAACCAGGTGGCTTACAAAAAGCCATGAAGCCAACTGGCACCCAACCCGCCAACCCGACCCACGCGATAGCGAGATTCCTGTCCTAAGTTGTCCTTTGACCTCCACACGCCCTCCTTCCCGTAAAACGAAGCCATAACGCCACCTTCCAGCCCGGAAGGGAGGGACCAGGAGGAGGCTGGACCCGCGATCACCGACCTTGACGAAGTACGGCTTCCCGAACTCCCCGCACAGCTGCTGCTTCCAGCTCTCGCCGAGGCCGGGCGGCACGTTGCGGGCGGCGAGCCTGAGCAGCGCCGCGGCCTTGTTCCTCTGGATGCGGACGAGCTGCTCGGCGCTGAGCGGCGAAGAGGGCGGCGTGGCCTGCTCGTTCTGCTCCACCCGGGCCTTCTTGGCGGGGCTGGCCTGCCGGGAGTCGGGGTCGGGAGTAAAGCTCCGGAGCCTCGCTCCCCTGCGCGCCAACCTCAAAGACCGCCGCCCGAAGACGCCCATGGTCCAGCCGTGCAGGGGACCCGCTAGGCCCGCCTTACGCGCCCACGGCCTTCCACGCGGGCTTTTCGCGGCAAAACAGCTCCCACACCCTGCTGCTTCTGATTGGACCATACGAGGGGGCGGGGCGGACACGCTGCACACTCATTGGCTCAGCGGCGCCCAAGTTCCGTCCCCATTGGTAGATATCTCCGCATGGCGGCCTTTGACGCGCACGGCTGTTGTGAACCCTTAAGGTGCCCCAGTCTGGCTGATAAGCGGCGTGCCCGGCTCTCCTGCCCCGGACCCCGCCGCACCGCAGTCCCCCCGCTGTCGGGTGCTGCCCCGCGCGTCTCACTAACACTCCCCACGTGGGCTTTTCGCGGCAAAACAGCTCCCGCCCCCTGTCGCCTGTGATTGGACCGCGGGAGAGGCGGGGCGCGCACGCTGTACACCGATTGGCTCTGCGGCGACCGGGCCCTATCCCCCATTGGCGAGTGCCTCGGCATGGCGGCGGCCGGCTGCGCGCGGCTGTTTTGAACCCCTAAGGTGTCCCAGGATGTCTGAGCAGCGGCGCGCACCGCAATCCTGCCCGGGACCCCGCCGTCCCCCCACGTTATCCCGCTAGTCTCACCGCCGCATCGCCGCTGTCCTCTGCCGCCACTCTGCTCCCCGGAGCTGGCTCGGGGCTGCGCGTGGTCCGCTTCCCGGTGGGGGTCGGGGAGAAGAAAGAGTAGAGGGTCTTCTGGCCGATCATGCCTGCACCGAGCACGGAGCTCCGGGACTCTCGCGACCGTGCTCACAGTTGGCGCGAAGCCACCCGCCCGGGCTCCAGCTAGAGGTGGGGAGGCTGGCCGGGCAGGGGGTGGCGGGGCCCAACGCGCATGTGTGGGAGGGGCCGCGGCCCCGCCCCTCGATGGGTGGAGCTTGCAAGGTAGGGAGAACCTGTGGCTTGCGGGTCATTGCTCTAAAGGTCTTTCTCCAGGTCTTCCTGATGGAAAGATCGGAGGCCTTCGAGTTTGAGCCCAGTAATGTTCCACCTCCCCAGATACATTTCCCTCCTATCCTCCTCCTCTTCAGTCCCCATTTGGGGATTGAACTCAGGGCCTTTGTGCTTGCTGGGCAACCATCTGACCACTGAGCTATATACCTCCTTGTCCTTTATCTCCCGTACCTACCTTAGACATACATTCAATTGTGCTGCTTTCTGTCATCTCCTTCTCCCCCAATAAAACAATCGCAGATAGTCTTTTCTACCGAGCCAGTGTAGATTAAACCTCGACCACTGTCTAGGAAAAACCCTCCCGTGTCACTGAGTAGCGACACACCCTGTAACCCCTAGCATCTTGGAGGTGGAGGCAGGAGGATCCCGAGTATAAGGCTCACCTTGGCAAACACAGTTTGTTATAGGCTACTCTGGGCTACAGCTTCCAAATCTTTTTTTTTTGTTTTTTTGGAGACAGGGTTTCTCTGTGTAGCCCTGGCTGTCCTGGAACTCACTCTGTAGACCAGGCTGGCCTCGAACTCAGAAATCCACCTGCCTCTGCCTCCCAAGTGCTGGGATTAAAGGCGTGCGCCACCACCGCCCGGCTAAGCTTCCAAATCTTTTTTTTTTTTTTAAATACAGTTTTTTTTAAACTATTTATTTATTTATTTATTTACTTATTTATTTATTTATTATATGTAAGTACACTGTAGCTGTCTTCAGACACCCCACAAGAGGGCATCAGATATCATTGCAGATGGTTGTGAGCCACCATGTGGTTGCTGGGATTTGAACTCATGACCTCTGGAAGAGCAGTCAGTGCTCTTAACCACTGAGCCATCTCACCAGCCCCAAGCTTCCAAATCTTAATTGCCTAGATTCCCAACTTCTTAGCAGTTCTCGGGGCTGCTTGCCTCTCCCCAGCTGTCCCTCTAAGATCTTCACGTGCTATGTTTTTTTTTTGTTTGTTTGTTTTTTTGTTTTGTCTCTTACCTGGAAAGCTATAGTGCTGGCTTATTACTCTCCCCTGTAAGGTCCTCTTCCTTACGCCCGTCCTCTCCAGCCTGTCACCCTGCTCACAACTTCCGTATTGTACAAAGTAATCTTATTACCTTGCCTCTTTTTTTTTTTTTTTTTTGATTCCAGCTCCAAAGTACAATGTGGATGAGACAGGATCCGTGCCCCGCTGGTGTGTGACAGTGTCCAGCGCTTTTAGGAGAGACCTGCTCAGCACTGAGGACCCTGTGCTCCAACAGGCAGCAGTTCATAGAGACATAACACTCCCTCCGGTCGAGCCCCAAGGCATTTTCTCAGTGAAGTAAAATCAGCATTCCCAGCGGGGTGCAGGACAGCATTCACAGTAGAAAGTTCGAGCATGAATATTTATGGTGATTTTTTTTTTCTGTGCCACCGGGAGGAAGAAACGACTGTCACAGGTCTGTCCATACCAGCAACGAAAAGAGAAAAGTGGGTGCAAGTGTTCTATATGTTTATACGTGCTATATATACATAGTGGCTGTAAGTCGGTACCTAAGGGAGGATTCTGTGAGATGCTCTAATTGTTCTCCATATTGACTGTAGTGGTCAGACAATGCACTCCTGGCTTTGTCAGGAGTGCAGGCTCATTCACTACCCCCGACCTGGACAGTGTCCTAGAGTATACATCAGGCTCGTGGGCCCCAGGACCTCACGTCGAGCCTTCAGGTGACGGCAGCATCCTGCAGTGCGCAGGGCGGCCGGCAGGGGGCCGCTGCGCCCGGAAGTTGCACTGGCGGGAGGGGCGGGGTGAGGACGCCTGGGGGTGCGCTCGGCGTGAGTCTGTGCAGATCCCTGACACGAGTCACCGCTCCGGACTGTCCCTGGGAACACGATTGGTCCCCCGTGCCAGCCCCTACCCCGCGGGGCGCAGGACAGAGGCTCCCTGCTTTTCTGGGTAACTGGGCGAGCACCTCTCTGCGCCTGCGTCTTCCCATGTGTAGCCTGATGGTTTGGGCATCCTGTTTGCAGCCAAAGCGCTCGAATCCCGAAGAGGGCGGGTCTTTAAAAGTTCTCGATTCCAGGGCGATCCTGGGGATGCCAGCCCGGGATCCCTGCAGATGGGCGCCTGGGGCAGGAGGATCGCGTGGTTCGCGTCAGCTTGCGCTAGGAAGACGTAAACTAAAGAGCAGGCCCGAGGGGTTTGCAAGCTCCCCGCCTGGCTGATGCCCGCCGGGCACCTCCTAGGAGTTTGAATGCACTCTTGTTTGCTTTGTAGGACGTGTCTGAGCTGTGCGGGGGCGGCGGGATGGACAAGTTCCTGGTGAGGCCAAACCCAGGCGACCTCCAAGGGGGAGGGGAGGAGCCCGCCCCGACCGGAGGAGCCTCGGGCGACCTGAAGAGCCCCAGCTGGCGACACCTTCGTGCGGAAGGTCTCAACTGCGATTACACCGTCCTGTTCAGCAAAGCCGAGGCAGACAAGATTTTCCAAGAGCTGGAGCAAGAAGTGGAGTATTTTACCGGTAGGCGTAGGCTTGGGCGGTGACAGAATGCGCCGTCATTGGGAGAAGCGTGAATTCAGGCTGTGACGGATTAGGTCATCGTCTGGTCAATTCCGATTAGGTTAGGGTTAGGTTATGGTTTGGGATACGGACTGGCCATGAGGTCTAGAACGAAATTACCTGTCTACTGATTGGAATTACCTGGGAAGTTAAAAAAACAACACCAAAAAAAGCAAAACAAACCCCAAACCAAACCATTCTGGGTTCTTCATGATACTGAGTCAGAATAGGGGGAGGCGCAGCTTGGGCCTCAGTGTTCTTTACCAGTCTTTTGGGCCAGTAGCTTGTAGCATGCACAAGACCCCAGGTTACACCCCCCCCAGCATTGTCAAAACAAAGGAGCAAACACACCCATGTGCAGGCAAGTTATGCTTGGTCTATAGAAGAGACTGCAAATAGCCAAGTAGTTTCTCCCTGGAAGGTTGCTTAGTTAATCTGAACCCCTGCTGCTGCTCAGAACTCTGGGCCTTACAGTCCAGTGTCTGAGGAGTCGCAGGTGGTGCTGATGCTGTTGCCTGGAGACCATATGCTGGGATGCTGGGATGAGCAGGCAGGGGCGGTACCAGCCTGAGCTTAGATAAGCCCATCTTTCAGGAATCCACACAGCTGACAAAACCATCCAGCCCTGAGGACTTCGCTGTGCCAGAGCTGTCTCTGTATGCCCTGACTTAAGGCAAAGAACATACAGCTTTAAAAACTGAAGCCAGGGTATGGTAGTGTGTACTTGTGATTTCAGAACTTGGGAGGTGGAGGCAGGAGGATCAGGAGTTCAAGGGCATCCTCAGCTAAATGGAGAGTTCAAGACCAGCCTGGGCTGCGTGAGACCCGTTTTTTTTAAAGATCATAAATAAATGTATGAGCCGGCTCAGCAGTTAAGACTAGGGGACCGAGGTTTGGGTCTGAGCACCCACATGGCAGCCCACAACTCTCTAACTCCAGTTCCAGGTACTATGATACCGTCTTCCAGCCTTCAAGGGCTCGAAACATGTTGAGTGCACAGACATTAGAAGCTGGCAAAGTAAAATAAAAAATACACAAATACATAAAAATAAAGCAAATGTTTAAAAAGGAAGAGAAGCAGGATGGCCTCAGGTGTCTTCTCTTACACAAGTTGTTTGCTTTTGGACCTGGGACAAAGGGACCAAGGTGCATGTTTACACATCAGAGCAGACCTGGCCTCCAGGTTCTCCCAGCATCCCCCAGTCCCTTCCTGGCACACCTCGCCCCCAACCCTGAACTTTCCAGCCCAGGGACTGGACTGCTCTTCCCCCAGAGGCTCTTCTATATAATCCAGACATTTTGGTCTCTTCTTCTCCTCTTCCCTCTGTGCACTTGAACGTCCTTTTCTATTTCTCTTCCCTCTCCCTCTCCCCTGGTGACTTCCCTGGCCTCTGTCCTTGGGACCAGTGAACTCGCCCCAACAAACCTGCAGTTAGTATGATCTAATCTGGTTTGAATTGGCTCATTTCACTGGTGTTGGCGAAATAACCTATCACAAGTCACCCATGTTTTTGTTTTAACAACTTCATGCGGGCTGGAGAGATGGCTCAGTGGTTAAGAGCATTGACTGCTCTTCCAGAGGTCCTGAGTTCAATTCCCAGCAACCACATGGTGACTCACAACCATGTGTAATGGGATTTGATGCCCTCTTCTGGCATGTCTGAAGAAAGCAGCAGTGCACTCATATACATAAAATAAATAATATTTTAAAAAAAAACTTCATGAATATATATGATGTATTTTGGTTATTTCCACACACACCCTATTCTGTCACCTCGACTCCTGCAGAACCCCTTTGTCCCATGCTCTGTCGTGCTCTCATGTTATTTTGTTTTTGTTGCCCACTGGTTTTAATGCTAGTCCACATGCCTCATGTGTCTGCACATAGTGTGTCCGCATGCCTCATGTGTCTGCACATAGTGTGTCTACATGCTTCATGTGTCTGAACATAGTGTGTCTGCATGTCTCATGTACCTGCACATAGTGTGTCTACATGTCTCAGTGTCTGCCCACAGTGTGTCTGAGTCTTGTATGTCTGCACTTGAGGAGGCCACAGAGCCATGCCCAGTGGATTCTCAGTATACTCACGGGCATTCCTTCTGCCTCTCATGATACAAAGCCCAGCTGGAGACCTCATCCTCACTTTCTGAGCCAGGGTCTCTCCTGAGTCTGGAACTTACAGATCCAGCTAGGCCGGCTGGCTGGTAAGCCCTCAGCATTCCCAGGATTCGAGGCATAGGCAGCAATACCTTGTGGCAGGCTCTTTACCGTCTCTCTGACTCTTTTGTTCTTTGAGACATGCTGGCGTGGAGTTTGTGTTCTGTGTACTTCAGCACCAGAGCCATGAGGTCACAGTGGTGTGCCATCATGCCTTTGTAAGACCCTGACCCTCAGTCAGTGGCACTTACTTTGAGATGCCCTCGCCCCCACCCTCCGAGTCAGACACCGAGATGCAGATTGATGCAAAAGCAAGAGGCTTATTTTCCAGCACATTGGGGTCAACCCTCAATCAGTCCCTCCAGACAAGGGACAAGAAGGTGACCCTGAATGGCTATTACAAGCAGTTTTTATACTTTTTAGGGGCACAGGTTAGATCAGCAAGGTTACAGTTGAACCTTATTGACTAAGCATACTGACCTTTAAATCTATTGGCTAGCAAGCATGACACGCATTTGAACTCTACCTGGGACTGTCCGGAGGGTCAGGTGACCATCTGAGAATGTTTTACTCAAAAAATGTTCCTGTGGGTAGAGATTGGAACTTGGACTAGCCTTAGACCCAAGGCAGGTGGATGTAAGGACTGAGAAAGTCCCTACGGTCCTTCACCTTTTTCATGACTACTGGGGACAAGCCACAGTGATTTAGGGTAAGAGGTCTCCAACTGAGCGTTATATGACATGAGCAGAGGGAACGCTGTTTGTACTTCTCCCCCTTTGAATACGCGGCAAGGGAGTGGACTGGACTCGGCTGTCTGCACCCGAGGGTCACAGATGGAACTTCCATTCATCCACGCAGGTGCACTGGCCAAGGTCCAGGTATTCGGAAAATGGCACAGTATACCCAGGAAGCAGGCGACCTATGGAGACGCTGGCCTCACGTACACGTTTTCCGGTCTTACCCTGACACCAAAGTCCTGGATTCCGGTTCTAGAGCGTGTCCGAGATCAAGTCTGCAGGGTGACGGGACAGACCTTCAACTTCGTGCTCGTGAACAGGTAACGCTTCCTCCGAGGGGAGAGTATGGGACTCTCGCTGTGCCTGGCTCATTTGTGAAGACCCTTCTGTAGTGCACCAGGCTCCAGAGGTGGGCGTGGCGCTCTTGCAGAGAACCCAAGTGCAGTTCCCAGTCCTGGCTCCAGCAGATCCAACGCCTCTGCCCTGAATACCTGTACCCACATGTGTGAACTCCCATGAGTATTTCTGCTCACATACACACGAGTGCCTCTTCTGACATGCATGAACCACCACACACAGAATTATAAATCTTCTTTTTGAGAGGAGTCTCCACAGAGCTTGTACGTAGATGTGAGAGGGGTTGAACGTGTTACTGGGAAAGTTAAACCCGGCTGACTGGATTGGGGGTGGGGCTCGATTTGGAGTCAGGAGTACTTTGCTGTACGGGGTTGACCCGTGTACCTGGACGCTCGGCACACCCCTTAACCCCCACCCTGTAGATACCATAGCACCTAGAATGTGGTTCCTGTAGTGACCAACAGTGCACCTCGATGGCAGACTCAGCCTGGCTCTGAGGCTTGAAGTAAATAAAGGGAAAGCCATTTAACCTTAGGTAGTGAGAAGTAGACTCCCCGAGGCTGGGACAGTTGACCTGGTGACTAGCTAGAGAGCTGGAGATAACCAGTGTTCAGACTAGAGCAGAGGAATGAAAGGCATGTGCCACCACTGCCCGGCAAGTCTGCAGGTATTATAAGAAGCAACTTATTAAGTGTTCTATGGCTGTGAGGGTCGCCGTGACCGAAGCTACAGTTATAGAAGGAAAGCATTTCACTGAGCTAGCTTACTGTCTTAGAGGGTGAATCTGTGATCATGATGGCAGGGGGTGCACACAGGCATGGCACTGGCACGGTTGCTGAGAGCTTCACATCCTAATCTGCAGGCAAGAACAGCCACCGAGAAGGGCAGAGGAGAGACAGACAGACAGACAGGGCCTAGTGAGAGCTCTTGAAACCTCAAAGCCCCACCACAATGATGCCTCCTGCAACAAGGCCTCCTGATTGGTCCCAAATAGTCCCACTAGCTGGGGATCAAGTGTGCAAACCTGAGCCTGTAGGGGCCGTTCTCATTCTCAGCAGCACACTTGAGGCTGGGCTCACCGGCCTCCCAGGCTAGGAAGGTGCGGAGCCAGCACACTGCTTCAGGCCGCAAGAGGATGAGGGAGCTGAAGCGTTGGCAGGAGAGGGAGAGAGTTTCTTCCGAATTGTTTGCCCACTGTAGGTACAAAGATGGTTGCGACCACATTGGGGAGCACAGAGACGACGAACGGGAACTGGCCCCCGGGAGCCCCATCGCGTCTGTGTCCTTTGGCGCCTGCAGAGATTTCCTCTTCCGGCACAAAGACTCTCGAGGGAAGAGGCCCCGGAGGACAGTGGAGGTGGTCAGGCTGCAGCTGGCCCACGGGAGCCTGCTGATGATGAACCACCCCACCAACGCCCAGTGGTACCACAGTCTACCCATCCGCAAGAGGGTCCTGGCTCCTCGGATCAACTTGACTTTTCGGAAAATTTTACCTACTAAGAAATAAAACATGTGTTTATTATTTTGTGTGTGTGTGTGTGTACGCGCACACACACACACACAGCGAGGCCAGAGGTGCCAGATCACCTGGTACTGTAGTTATGGGTGGTTGCGGGCTGCTCTGGCTAGCCCCTCAAACCCATTTTTAATAACCAGTGCTCTGTGTTTTCTCTTTTTGCCGGGAGGAATTGGTGTTTGCTTTAGCACAGAGAACACAGAGGGTTATAAAAACTTAGGCAGCACTCAGGAGGAGGGTGCCATGGGATACCCACAATAAAGACCACCATTCAGGGCCTGGCGTGGCAGCACCCAGGAGCAGAGGCAGGCAGTTGTCACAAGTTTACGGGTAGCCTGCTGTACATATGCCCCCTATAAAGGACTAAGACACCACACTCGGGTGTTTGCTAACAAAACCATCTTTATTGCAATAGTACACAGCAGATACAAAGGCTTTAGCAAATCCACACTCAACAGTCTACGGCGTAAGTACTAGCTTAACCTAAGTTTCTCCGGGAAGAAGAGACCTACCGTGAATAACTTAACTCATCATTGGTCATTACCTAATGTAAGAATTTACAAAATGAGGAAGGACATTAGCGCTTGGTCAGGCTGACACGTCCACAGCAGTGGCTCACACGGGGCCTCTGAGCAACATCACACGCTTGTCCTCTCGGCCACTTCTTTTCCCAGCTGACCTCAGGAGGAGCGGCAGGACTGGTACTTGGGGCCCTCAGCCCTGCACAGTGCTCTAAGGTCACAGGTGACTGACCACTTGTGTGTTCATCTCAGCCTGGAAGCCAAGTCCGTGGGTCTGTGGTGGCGTGGAGGTCCAGCCCAGCATAGTCTTGGAGTCCTCGGATGCACAGTGAGACCTGATCTCATAGCTGATGCCTAGGCACATCTGGAATGTCTGCCAGCTTACCCCCAGCAGAGAAAACATGGCCTCGGCCTTACCTCAGTGACCTGTGGATGGGTCTGGCTCCAAACCTTAGACCAGAAGTGTCAGTTTGAATTTGGTATCTTTTTTTAAATTACACACTTAGCTAACACGTAGGTACTACTGTGCTGTCCCGATTCCTGTCCCTGGCTGTTCATGAGGCGTGTCTGGAAAGGGGAGAGGCCCAGTGTACCTTTTGCTTAAGGAGGTCAGCAGACACAGAGGACGGCCTACAGTCTGGCCGCAGAATGCATCTGCTCCACTTGTGTTCAGGTGTCACACTCCTTTCTTCCTCACTGTGGCCTGACTGAGAACGAGAGGTCCAGAGAGTGCGGCCCTGGGTCAGTGCCCGCTCTTCCTAGCCCAGCTTTCAGGTCACCCTGCCAGCCTCTGGCCTGTAAACCCTGCTGTGGGCAACTAATAACACAGAGAACCACCTTCTGTAGCGTTCAGCAGTGCAGAGGACATGGCTCAGGAAGGGGCTGCCGCCTCTCCTGCGTCCTCCGTGGACTTGGCAAGTGACCTTGATGGCACAGGGAACTCAAGGTTACAAAAGGCATTCCCAAAGGTGGGGAGGTGTTCTTGAGGCTTTGGGGAGGAGACAAGGTTTTAATGATGGAGCCCAGGCTGGCTTGGAACTTGCAGTGATCCTCCTGCCTCAGTCTCTACATGCTGGGATCCCAGGTGTGAGCCACCTCGATGTTTTAGGCATTCTTGAACTGTTCTTTTGACCACTGAGGAGCCTGGAAGGACAAGGGCTGTCCCAGCATCACGCCTGACTCTCAGGTCATGCTTGGTCTCAGAACGACAAGGGCTGTCCCAGCATCACACCTGACTCTCAGGTCATGCTTGGTCTCAGAACAATGGGAAACAAAGGCACTTTTTCTTCTGAATGGTTGCCTTTAATAATTTCACTAATTCTTGTCAATATTATTTATGGGCCTTATTAAAAATAAAGGTCTATGGTGAAATGGCAGGGGTTAGCCAAAGATGGCCTCTGAAAACACCTAGCATAATACAGTACAGGGAAGGTGGCTTCTGGGATCCGGTTCTTTTAATTGCCTGTGTCAGGTAAGACATTCTAGACACACAAGGACATCTTCCAGTTCACCCTGGCAGTGCCGTGTAGGACTGGCTCCCTTGTGGAACCTGCTCTCAGAATACACAGAAGGCTGAGGGCTCTAGAGGGCTGGCTTGCACGTGTACACGTGGCATGCCTTTGTTTTTATCCTGGACAGTGTGGACCTCACCATGGGCCCTGGCTCTGGACTGGCCTGTCACTCCTCAGACCTATACTCTCGCCCCTGCTGCTGCACTCTGGACAGAACTCGCTCGTAGAACAGCAGGTAGGCACTAGAGGACAGGACCTCCTGCAGGCTGGCCTTGCGGACGGTGTCATCGGAAATCCACAGCCATTGGTTGCTGGTTGAGAGAGGGTTCTTGGCAGAAGGTGGCGACCGTCTGTAGGTGACAAAGTGTCCAGAGTGCATGTCTCCATGGTGGACGACAACTGCCATCAAGCGGAAGAGGTATGTGGAGGAGCTGAAGGGTGGGAAACGCCACTTGGTTATCACAGACCCAGGCTTGTAGGCAAAGCTTAAACAGCACTGTGTGTTACACTTCAGGAGGTGAGTGTGAGTGTGCACAGGTACACCTAACTGTTAATGACAGCTCTACACTTGAAGGATGTGTGCTGAGTGCAACATGCTTCCAACGGGAACGGCTAAAGTCTACACTGAGTGCCTAGCTGGAGTCCCAGGAAAATAGTTCTCTGCACACTTTACACATGGGCACACACATATACACACACAGCCAGATTTCATGCACTTATATAATTTTTACTTTAAAAATTATTTCCATCTTGGAAATAACTAAGTAACAACAAATCATGTTATCCCACTTCAAAATGAAAGAGGGAATTAGCCCACGCCTCTATTCAGGACCCTGGGACCTGCAGAGCCACAGTGAGTAGCCAGCAGGCTGCTCAGTAGCCTCCCTCCTCACCTGTAGTCAGGAACCACGGGCAGAGGGAAGGCCATCGGGGAAGGCAGGGCTGGCAGCAGAGTCGGGGAGCAGGCGCCGTTCATAAAGATCTGCGTCTTGGGGGCCCCTGGCTGACTCAGACCTGTAGGAGAAAAGGCCGTTACAGGACGGGCAGCTGATCTGTGTCAACGGCTGGTCGGGTTCTGTTCAGCTGCAGACACAGTCATATGATGCAGCCCAAGCTGGCTCTGAAATGCTGCAGACGGTCAAAGCAAGACGGCAGCCCCGCAGCGCCTCCCTGTGCTTTCCTTCTGTGATGGCTTTTATGTTCTCACAGTTCTGAAAGGTACTATCATTGCTGTATGCATGCTTACTTCCAGCACCTGTGTGGGGCCAGGGGACAACTCTGTGCAGCACTCTGTCCTCGCCTTTCACCTTTCCGTGGGTTCCAAGGGTCCAACAGAGGGTGCCTTTCCCTACAAGCTAACCCATGGTCCGTGGTCCTCACTCGGTCGGTGCTTATCACTCTGCAGTGCAGTTCTCTAGGAACCGCTGGCTGGGGCGTAGCTCAGGAGAGCGCGGTCCTAGAAGTGAGGTGCTCAGCGCTGATGCAGCGCTGGTGAGAATAAAATGGAAGCCCTTGCCCTCCCACCCCATCCCTGCTATTAGGAAGTCAGCCAATGGCTGCACGGCTAGAGTGCAGGGTGAAGAGCCAGGCAGGGACACCAGCTCTTCTTCTCTGGGCCGTCCATCGACTGCACACACCTGGCTTCGGGGCCACCTGTGTGTCCTGTCCTTCCAGGGCAGACCCTGGGTCCTCGGAGGCTTTGGGGCCATGCTGGCTGGGTTTGTGTCCCAGGAGGCGGTACTTGTAGAAGTCCATCATGAGGAACTCGTTAAACTGCACGTGCTCGTGCCGCTTCAGGGGCGTGCCGTGGCTGGACCAGCTGAGCCGCTGCAGATGGATGCAGAGGCACTGTGGCAGCTGCGGGCAGAGGGGAAAGGAAATGTCGGACGTGCAGAGGCTGACAGAGGCCCTGCCTTCTCCCAAGCGGAGCACAGCGCAGGACTCACCTTTCCTAGCTTCAACTGTTTAACAAAAGTGGTCCTCTGGTGCTCCACCTCCTCCCCGTTCCGTGTCCCCTTAGCTTCAATCTGCAATAAAGCCATGGCATGTCTGTGGGAGCCAGCAGCGAGGGAGCCGCAGCCCCGTGAGCCCCGTCCAAAGCTCAAGTCTGTTCTCACAGACTCCTCCTCAGAGGCAACAGGAGCCATGGAGGGAAGAGAAAGGAAATGAACACTGAAATGTGAACTTTTTAAATACTCAAAAATGCTATGCAGAGCGGCCTGGAGACATTAGCAGTTCAGAGCACTTGTGGCTTTTGGAGAAGACCCAGGTTTGGTTCCAAACACCCACGTGGTTTACAACCAGTGTTAACTCCAGTTCCAGATCCAATGCCCTCTTCTGACTTGTGTGACACCAGGCACTCACACCGTGCACACACAGTCATGCAGACAAAGCACTCATATACACAAATAAATCCCAAACCAGTTCTATGTGGATTCCCCAGGCCCGCCTCTTCCTCTCAGCCCTGTATGTTTCACTCTGGAGTCTCATTTGTATAGCTTCTCAGAATAATTCTGAACATCTTGGCCCTCCCTGCCTGAGAGAGCCTCAGCGTCCCCAGGTATCCTTGGAATTCAGTGGCAACTGCTGCTGACAGTGGAACGGGGGCAGAAGGTGGGTTTCAGCACCTACGGCCCCGCCTGAAGACCTGGAGGTGGCGTGGCAGTCAAATCTGTGCCTGGGCAGCAGAGGGCGCCTGTGAGCAACCTCTCTCCCACCCTGCCACTGCTCAGTAACTTCCCAAGGTTCCTCTTCCTCCAAACCAGTGTTCCCCCCTAGAAGTGTGCAGGGAAGCTCCCAGGCCTCGATTCACAAGGATGTGCGAGGTTCAGGAGAGTCCCAGGGACTTCCAGAACCCGTGAGCTACTGAGCTATGATCCATGCCTCAAAAGGTTATTTAAACGAGCCCTCTCTGGAAAAGGAGTCTTCAGTGAAGCTGCCCGCAGGCTGACAGAAAGCTCCAGAAACGCAGCTTCTGGGGTCGTTACAGGCTGGGCGGTTTTGTTGGGTTTGTGTGTGTGTGTGTGTGTGTGTGTGTGTGTGTGCTGCAGCTCTCCTATGGATGTACCCCAGCTGCCCTCAGACGTCTATTTAGCATTCTTCTGGATTCAGACGGAAGTGGGGTCCAGGTAAAAAGTGGACACACACGAGACCAATGGGAAGGAAGCACAGACGGGAGTGGGGACTCCGTGTACACCCTGAGTTTAAGGTGCTCCTATAAATATGGGGCACAAAAATCACAGGTAGCCGCTCTACAAGCAAGGTGGGAGAGGGCAGTGACTGGTGTAGGTGGCAGGTGACGCTGTGGACTGCGTACCTTGGTACAGTTGTCACACACAACGTCCCGCACGGACTCGGAGGAGATGAAGTGGTGAAGGCAGTGGTCCAGTGTCAGCGGGTGGCCCTACGGCAGGAGCGGGCAGTTAGAACGGCTCAGAGGAGCTGCGCTGGGGCACAGGCAGCCTTGAGGGCTCTGTCCACAGTCTACAGGCATCACATCGGGCTTTAGACGCACTGGGAGCACTCAGCCCCTGCTGACGGGCTCAAGAGAGGGGTGGACACTGGGAACCAGGCACCCACACAGGCTCAGGAGGGGGCAGAGCCGAGGAGATCTGCACCTGCAAGATCAGTACGTACCCAAGTAGCAGCTGGAATACTGAGGGAAAGGCTGTCAAAGGTGTCAAACCGAACAGGACTCTGAAAGAAATATTGCACGAAGTCAAAGGGGAGCTGGACATCAGCAGACGGGGTGGCTTAGCGTCCGCAGTCAGATGACAGCACCCCGGACACGGGGCAGCAGCATTAAGTAGCAGCGTGAGATCACCCTTGAGTATGTACCCGGCCCAAAAGCTTGGGGATTATTTTTTAAATATCCTAAGGAACTGGTACCAACTACCAGGATTTCCACCAGTTCCACTGATAGCACCAAACCGATAGGAGTCGTTGAAGCCTAGGGAGTCGTCAGACAACTGTGGACGGCCATGGAGTTGAGTCTGTGTTACCAACACTAGTACAGTGGACTGTGTGTCTGCACGGAGGCCATGCTGTGTTAGAAAGCATCCCTGTGTAAGGTGACAGGGTCGCTTAGACCTGCAACCCTGGAAAAGCTCTAAAAGCAGGACAGCTTGGACGGCTAGACACAGGCAGACACAGGCTCCTGAGTGAGGCCTGCCCACCTACTCTGCATGGTGCTAGAGAGAAGCAGCCACCGTTCAGGACCGAGACGTCAGAAGCTGGCAGACAGACAGGGTTGTCAGAGAAGATAAGCCCTGAGTTGTGTACATAGCTGCCCACAGAGCAGCACAGGTGCAGGAGGACCTTGAGGGTCCTGGCAGACACAACAGCGAAAGTCAGAACAGAACAGGGCATTTGCTGCCTAAGAAAAAGAAGAGTTGTCGGGTGGTGGTGTTGCACGCCTTTAATCCCAGCACTTGGGAGGCAGAGGCAGGTGGATTTCTGAGTTCAAGAGTTCGAGGCTAGCCTGGTCTACAGAGTGAGTTCCAGGACAGCCAGGGCTACACAGAGAAACCCTGTCTCAAAAAAACAAAACAAACAAACAAAAAAAAAACCTAAAACAAAACAAAACAAAAATAGAAAGAAAGAAAAAGAAGAGTTTGGAATTTGGGCCAAATTAGTTGCCTTTCAGAACAAATCCATTTTCTTCTCAATCTCCTCCTTCTTCTCTTTTTCTTCTTCTTCCTCTCCCTCTTCCTCTTTTTTCTCCTCCTTTTCATCTTGTTTTGGTGTATGTGGGTCTGTGGGTCGAATGTAGCCCAAACTGGCCTTGAACTAGATATGCAGCTGAAGCTGGCCCAGACTTGTTATTCCTAGGCCCATCTCCTTACAGCTGGGGTAGGTGTGTGCCTGTCTGAAAATTCATTTTCTAAGGGACAAAGGAATCCAGAGTCTACTGTATTGTATATGCAACAAAAACACCTAGTGCCAGAGGAGGAGAGGAAGATGTCATGAACCAATGAGAGTTGGCCTAGTGTGAAACTGGCGCCCACGGACCTCACACACACACACACGCTGTCAGTACGATCCAGGGAAGAAGTGTGAGAAGGCGACAGACAGAGAATCCCAGCAGAGAACTTAACGAGAAAGAGAAAGGAAAACTTTACACTCTGAGTGTGGCACGCCTGGGATCCCAGCTGGGGAGCTCAGAGACAGTCCCTATGGTTTGCTGGTGGCCACGTCAGCAGATTCTGAGAAAGACCCTGCCTCAAACCCCAGGTGTCAGGGCAACTAAGGACAACCAACCTGGGCCTCTGGCCTACACACACCACACACACACACACACACACACACACACACACACACACGTACAGCATGACCAACCCTCCGGCCTCCACACACATACATACAGCATGACCAACTCTCTGGCCTACACACACACACAACCAACCCTCCGGCCTCCACATGCATACACACACGTACGGCATGTCCCAGCAGGGACTCCAGAGGAAGGCTCTGCATGACACAGGGTTGACAACTCTAAGCTGTATACCTTGGGAATACTCGTCTCGTGTTTCCTAGAAGACCACCAGAAGAGGACATGGCGGCTATCGCCGCCTTACTCGGCCTCACCAGAGACAGGCGTAGAGAAGACATAAAAGGCAGAGGGCTGTGGGGAGGCTGATAGAACTCCCAACTGGACACATCAGCCACTGCAAAGACTCCACAAGCGTCCAGAGCGTGGCTCAGGACAGTGCTGGCCTTGCACTCACAAGGACACACACACACCCTGGGTTCAGTCCCCACACTGTGAAAAACAAAATAAGAAAACATTTGTAAGATCTCAAGATATAAAACAGAAACAACAACCAACCACAACTCCATGTAGTGGTGACAAGCAGAAAATACAACATTCCGAAATTCCACTTGCAAGAGCTTCAAGATAGAAATAAATGCAAGGAAAAATCAGAGATGTGTGGCCAGGACACATCAAGGATCACAATATATGAGTCTTACTTCTCAAAAAGAGTAACGTGTTAGACACGGGTGATGTCAATCAACACAAGGCAGCAAGAAAGCGCAACACAGCACCTACAGAGCAAGAAAAAGCCTCTGCAAACCACACACCTGATGGGGAAATGTCCAAGGAACCCATAAGTCAGCAGCACCCATCCCCCCCAAAACTAAGGCAAGTAACAGTAAAAAAACAAGCAGCCAGGTGTGGTGGTAACACCTGTGATACTCGCTCACACCTGTGATGCTCACACCTGGAAGGGCTCCCAAGGGAGGAGGAGCAATTCAGAGGTTAGCCTGGGCTACATGAGATTCTGCTCTAAAAACAACCAAAAAGGAAAAGAAGGGAAGGGAAGGGAGAGAGAAAGGAAAGAAAAGAGAAGGAGAGGGAGGAACTGAATGCAGACAAGCAGATCAGCAAAGGACACACACACAAATGTTTCCTAGAAGCCCAGCCGTGGCCGACAAGCACTACAAAGGACAAGAAGGTGCCTGCCAGGACAGCTCACGGGTCAAGCGCTTACCTTACAAGCATAAGGGACCTGAGTTTGAGCCCAGAACCTATGTTAAAAACAAAACAAACAAACAAACAAACAAAAACAAAGCCAGGCATGGTAGCACACACTTGGAAAGCTAGAAGCCGGAAGGTGGAGACAGGCAGGAGCCAGCGCTCACTGCTGGGCCAGCTTAGCTGACTTAGTACATACCAGATCAGTGAGGGACCGTGTCTCAGGAAACAAGTGGCCCTCAAGGCTCCCCCTGCCCCACTCTCCACACACATGGGCATGGGCACATGAGGACAAGCCGTGTGGGCAAAGGATGGAGAAAAGCAGCTCTGCCACTCTGTGGTAGGAACTGGGCAGACACTGTGCAAAGCAAAATGGAGAGTCTTCAAAGAGTTACAATTAGACATGTCTGTCCCCTGTGGTCCCAGTCCTTGGAACACTGGAAGGTATTAGGACTGAGTCTCAGGACAGCCAGGGCTACAACAGTGACAGCCTGTTTCAAGTCAGACAACCAACCAACCAACCAACCAACCAACCAACAGAATTAGCATATGGATCCAATCTGTTTGTGGGTGTGAACGCAGTTGACAAGCTCAGCACCACACGAACACCTGATGCTGCATGCTCACAGCAGCACTGGCACAACACCCAAGACACAGAAGCAAGCCCAGCCTCCGCCAGAGGAGAGCGTAAGGAAATGTGCACACACACCCATGTACACAAAGGATATATTCTCCCAAGAAAAAGAAGGCAACACTGTGCTTTCTGACTACACAGATGAACCTGGGGCATCCCCTAAAAACTACTCCCACATGACCTCACTTAATGACAGATTTACAGAGACGTAGACTGGTAACTGTCCTGGTGGAACATAAGATGGGGAAATACCTTCAGGGAACAGGTGCCCAGCACGGTGACTTCGGTTAACAAAGCACACTTGAAACTCACTGAAAGGGGCCAATGAGTTGTCACCACACACACAGACACACACACACACACACACACACACACAAGCTAAGAGGATCCTGACGAGTTGTCACCACACACACAGACACACACACACACACACACACACACACACACGGGATCCTGACGAGCTGTCACCACACACACAGACACACAGACACACAGACACACACACACACACACACACACGGGATCCTGACGAGCTGTCACCACACATTCGCTAAGGCTGTGACTCCAGAAGTCGCTGGATTGAGCATGTATCACTAGAGTCCATCTCAAACCGTCACTCAGGGTTCTGCACATCTGTGTAGACTCTGCTTATCAGTTACTCCCAGGGAAGCAGGCGAAGTCCTGCAGTGAGGGGTGAACTATACAGCAGCTGTAGGGAAGGCTGGCGTCAGGAGTCAGACAGGAAGGTGCGTGAGGCCTGAGCACCCATGTGGGATAGTACAGCTGCTCTGGAGAATTATCTGGAAGCTCCTCAAAAGACTGAACCAGGGTCCCCACATGGTGGCTCCCAGGTACAATTCATTCATTTAAGGACACATCCACACAAAATCCCCAGAGTGGAAACAATGTAAATGCCCCTCATCTGACGGCAGACAAGGACACTTGTCAGGGCCATGTGACACAGGAGCATCCGGTTCTAAACAGTAGGAGGTGCTGTGCATGCACCCCAAAAGAGAAGGCCTAACCGTGCGGACCATGTCACCCAGCAGAACAGAAACTAGGAGGGACGCTCACGTGTGCCGTGTGTGCAGGAGGGATGCTCATGTGTGCCGTGTGTCAAAATGTCCTGAAACTGCCTAACACTTATAAAAAACTCTCTCTTTGTGCTTTTGAGAGTTTTCCATGAAAAGGTTAGAACCCTCAAATCTAAAGCAAAGCACCTCCCACTCCTCAAATCTGCTGTGCCTACCAAGAGCAGACAGACACACAGATCTAGGACCTGCAATCTATCAACTGACAGCAGCTGTGCTGTTCCTGGGGCAGACGCTGCCTGAGTGTCAGGTGATATCCACTCTGATGTCCCCTCAGCACCCTCCCTCCCCACCCCACACAGCCAGGCCGCACTGCAGGGCCTTTCCTGCATCCTGACTGACAGGCAGCCACTTACCTGGTGCTCACAGTGTTTGCACACCATGTTACTGGTGAGTCTTCCGTGGAAAGGGTGCTGAGACTTCCAGTGATTGGTCGTGGGGTGAGGGGACCCTGGAATGAAAAGCACCTTGACACACCGCGTCACTCGAGGCTCACCCCAACTCCACCCTCCTGCGTACAGAGCAGACACGCCTCCTCTAGGAAAATGCTCCCGTGACGTGCAGCGAGAACCTTCCTCGGGCACCTCCAGTCTCCGTCCTCACATTTGGCTGTGCATGGGAGCAGACCTAAGGGTGCTATGTAAGGTCTACAGACGCGTGCCCACTGTGAGAGGGGGGGTCATGGGGGGCAGTCCACAAAGCGAGGGAAGCTCTGAGGCAACCTGAATAAACGAGTTCTAGAGAACACGGCTGCTCCTTGCTTAGGATGGGGCTGGTGGACACAGCACTGGGGGAACACTCTCTCCACAAGCAGGCAGCCCTGAGTGATGTCCTGACCTGCTCGTTAGCCATGTGACCAGGAAGTCACTTCAGCTCTCCCAGTCTCTCTTAGACACAGAAATATCATCTACGCTATGGTCCAGGCTGACCTGGAACCATGTAGCTTAGACTAGCCTTAAAGACAGTAAATCCTCCTGCCTAAGCCTCTCAATTGTTGAGGTTACAGGTGTGAGCCCACAGTTGGCCTGTAAACTTAATTGGTGGAAATGGGTAAGTGCCCCAGTATCCACTGAGGCTCAGATGAGGGGCGGTGCTTGCTGCCTGGGACCAACTACCGGCAGGGCTACGGCTGACGCCCAGAGGCTGTGCTGACTTCAAGTCTTGAGAAAATACAGATTTTTATTCTGAGGCAACAGCATGGATGTCCAGCACAGCCCTGGCTGGTCACAGCCGGCAGGAGACAGGAGCAGTGCTGTCCTATCTAAAAATCCACATTTTGCTTTCATTCATTTCTTTAAACACACATTTTATCGATGGAAAGCGCCTACCTCTCGTGTGGCAGGTGACTTGTCTGGGAGCCATTTCTGACTGCTGCTGTAGGGAAAAGAGAGAGCGATTGAGAACCAGACGGCAGCCCTTTTAACCACCCTCACCGCCCGGAATCTTACAAGTTCCTAGGCCAGCTGCACAGTCAAAACCAACATCCTCACAGCCCAGCTTTCTGAAGTGGTGCTGATCCGCCTGCCGGTTGGTTTCTACATTAATTCCTTTCTGGTGGCCACAAAACCATGCTTCTCCTCTCTGGGGGATACTTCCCCCCATTGCCAGTCAACTCCTATCACTGCCCGAGGTATTACATTGTCACAGGGAGAGGAGCACTCGCTCAGAGAGCCCAGTGCCCCTGACTCCCCTCTACTAACAAGAAAAACGAGCCAATCTCTCCTCACACACAACCCAGCAATGAACCCTCTTAGAGCTGGCTGCAGCACACACGCCAGCAGCGGTGCTCAGACTGTCAGCCACAGCTCCTGGTTACTGGATCTGACTCTCTAATCTAGGCCTCACACAGACTGTGTGCTCTGTCCTTACTGAGAGTGCACACACTGACACAGTCTGTGTGCCCTGTCCTTACTGAGTGTGCACACACTGACACAGTCTGTGTGCCCTGTCCTTACTGAGTGTGCACATACTGACACAGACTGTGTGCCCTGTCCTTACTGAGTGTGCACACACTGACACAGACTGTGTGCCCT